ATTTTTTTCTATTTAATAATATTTATTTCAAACTTGCAAGTTGAGTTAAAAGTTATGGTAATAAATTCATTTTTTTTTTATTAAAACTTTCACTTTAAAGAACAAAAAGAAGTAGGTTCAAAATGATTACTTTTAACATATTAAAAATCAATAATAATTTGAAAATAATTAATTATAAAAATTATATAATATATAATTAAAATAATTACTAATCTGGATATAATTAAGGAAATAGGAGTTGATGTTGGGTTGGGTTGGTTACATTTTTAACTTTATAATGCTATAACTCATTGAAAAGTGTACGAATCAACACAATTTTTTTATGAGAAATAATATTTTTTAATAATCCCTTTTTCATTCGACATACTTTATCTTAATCAGGGTATTAATAAGAAACTAGCAGATAATGTAGCTTTTGTAATTATCCACCAATTTCTTAGAATTAAACACTATCTACTGATTTGCATCGAAGCGTTTCTTATGATAGTGATTTTAATCACTGTCAGATTAAATCTATACTGGACCCAACTATGCAACATCCCCACTATGCCGCGACCCCACTGTGCTGGGTTTTTGATAGTGATTTTAATCACTGTCAGATATCATTATACTTAATCCATCTATACCACATCACCACTGTGCCGCGACCCCCTGTGCTGGGTTTTTTATACTGATGACACAATGTGTTTATAGTAACCCAACTAACACAATCACGATATAAGAATAATTTATGAATATTTGTGAATATTACTATTATAATCTAAGAATACTCGTTTATGTATCATATTAATATTACAACAATATAATAAGTATAAATGTCAAAACCGGGAAAGGGGGTTAAATAATTTTATATAATAAAATTAGTTCTTAAAAAATAAAATTTAATTTTAAGTAAACTGGTTATAAATCTTTTAAATTACTCAAATAAAGTACATAAATAAAAAGTAAAGTATACATGTAAAAATAAAAATAAAATGGTATCTTCTTAACATTTTTTATTTTCACTTCTTTCATTGGCCTTTGAAAGCAGTTTCTATACTTTTATTACACATTGAATTGTTTTTGAACAGCCCTTATAACAAATATCAAAAACATTCTAATAAAAATGTTGTGTAAGTTCCAATATTTTTTTTTTAAACAATAGATTTTTAAAATTTATTATTAAATAAAATTATTGGGTAATCGCATTACCGTCCGACTTTCTCAAAATGTCTATTTGGAACTACCCGTGTAGTCTTGTCACTTCTTCACCACCGCTTGTTATTTCAAAATTAACAATGATAACTCATACCGTTTATATAAATACCGATTCATGCGTCTTACCTGCCAGTCATATTTCATTTGCTGCTTTTCTACCCGTATTGTAATATTTACCGTATTTTTTCTCCACCAAGGCCGTTACTTCTCTGTCTACAGATTTTTATTATGTTCTTTTTACACACATAGTATGCACGAAACGCGCTATATGAACACCTAAAATGGCTAATTAACACAATTTTAAAACCAGGATATTATATATATGTATATAGAGAGAGGAAGATGGATACTGAATATTTAAATTTATAGCTATTATTATAATACAAATATATAATTATTAGTAATAAGATTTATCTAACTTTTTAATATTATGATATTAATCATTATTACTTATTAGAATTTTTAGACATAATAAAATACATACACACATATATATATATATATCTTTATATCTTTATTTTATAATTCTTATAATACTAATAATTATGAAATATTTATTAATATTTCTTATACATTCGTAATATTAATTTTGAAAATAAATAACATTTTTAGTATTCATAAATATCTCATAACAAAGAAAACATTGACACACAAGTATAAGGTACATTAATAAAACAAAACAAACTAAAATTTGAGTAAATTCAAAATATAAAACCCTACGCACTGAGATCGCGGCACAGTAGTGACGTATATAGTTGGGTTAAGTATAATGATATCTAACAGTGATTATAATCACTATCATAAGAAACGCTTCGATGCAAATCTACAGTGTTTAATTTAAAAAAAAAATAGATTATTCCAAAAGCTATATGATCTCCTATTTCCTTATTTATATCCCGATTACAAGTTTTATGATTTATAAGTGTAAAATATGAATAAATATATTTATAATATATAAATATTTAAAGGGAAATGGTTTTATTTAAAAAAAAAAAAGTATGTCTAATGAAAGAAGTATATAAATAGTATTTATCATAAAACAAATTGTATTGATCCATACATTTTACAAAAAGTAATGGCAGTTTGAAGTAAAAAAAATCCAGCACAATAGTGACGTAGCATAGTTGAATCAAGTATAATGATATCTGACAATGATTAAAATCACTATCATAAAAACCGCTTCGATGCAAATCTTTAGATAGTGTTTAATTTAAAAAATTTGGTGGATTATTACAAAAGCTACATGATTTGCTATTTCCTTATTTATATCCTGAATAAGATAAAATATATCGAATGAAAAAGGGACATAAATATTATTTCTCATAAAAAAATTGTGTTGATTCATACACTTTTCAAAAAATTATAGAATTATAAAGTTAAAAATGTAAAAAATAAAATTGAGAATTTTCAGACAAAAATAGCATTCGGTAGCCATTTTCACCTTGAAGACAAAATAAAGTCAGAAATTTTTTTTTTTCCATAATTTACATTACATTAGCTTTAATTTAAGATATATATAAAAGTGTCAGACTTTCCGGAATACTTTCATAAGTTAAGTTGAAAAAGTTAATTTTTTGTGAAAAAGTTGTCATTTAAAATCCTCCTCTATGGACAGATAAAGGGATAGATTAAAAAAAAAAATTACCAAATGATAGGTAAAGACAACATGCATCTATAAAAAAAAAATTATGTTGATTTGTTCATTTTTAAAAAAGTTATGGCAGTTTTAAGTAAAAAAAAATTTCAAAAATTAGAAATTTTTAAATTTGTAATTTTTTTGGAGGTTTTCCCCCCATTTACGGGGAATGAGGGAAATTTTTTCAATTTTTCAATGTCTTCGACTAGATACGATTTGTGATCTTTTGACGTATTTTTGAAAGAAATCGGTTCGGTGAGAGCTGAGAAAAAGTGGTAACAGACACAAAAAAAAAAACGCATCATAGTAAAACCAATACCTTCTCAACTTCGCATCGAAGTTAAAAAAGACTATTAACCAATCGCATAGCTGCTAATAATAAATACTTCAAAATTTTAAATTAGGGATTATCTAGTACTATTGAAATTTTTATTCTGTATGTTAAGTTTTTCATGCAAACCTCAAAAGGTTTAAATAATAAATGATGAATAAAATATTATAGTAATGTGTTAAAAACTGTACGTTATATCGATTTTTATAATAATATAATATAGAGTAATACAATTTCTAATTTCGTACTATTTGCTAAAATGTCCATTTTTAGTTTAAAATTATTTTTTCATTATTCAAATTGATAAAGTATTTTTTTTTTTTTATAAGATCATATTTTAACATTTTTAATGTAAACTATGGATGTTTTAGTGGATTTTTTAAGCCCATTTGTATTTTTAAGTACATTAAATCATACATATTTTTAATTTTAGTATATATATCTTTGAAAGAAATTGGTTGGGTGAGAAAAAATTGTAATAGACACAATAAAAGAAAAACATAGTAAAACCAATGACTTCTCATCTTCGCTTCGCAATTAAAATGCAATAAAGAATTCTTCAGTTGAGGGGATTCGATCCTAAGTGCGTACGTGTTATAGGATTACGTATTGTCGACTGGACCATCACACGAATTTTTTACGGATAAAAAATGATCCTATTTAAGCCAATTAAAATTTTTCAAAGTCAAATTTCTCGACTTAAGGAGACATTGTCAAAAAATTCCAAATATGTCTGATTCTGTATTCAATATAGATTAGATCTATATAAATTTTGTGAAAATCGGTGACCTCCTTTTTTTAGTTAAATTAATTCGGTTTCTTCACATATGTGTTTCCACCAAAATATTATTATTAAAAATAGTATTCAAATTTCTATAATTAGGTTGTAAAATATGCCTAGAGATCATAAAAATAACTATAATGGTTGTTGTAATTTGAAATACATACAAAGAATAGTCTCTGGCTATAAAAATGGTTCATTTTGGCTAGCGTTAAAGGAACTGTATAAGCAGTAAAAAAATACAATTGTCAAAACGAATAACATCTGAGCATAATGTAATCTCTGGAACTACATTATAGTAAGTTACTCAATGCGCATTAACCAACAGCAAGTAAAAGTCTTGTTATAACGAGAAAATTGAATTTGAATTTAGATTATGATGTCCTAAATTTATTTATAATTTTTTTATATTTTCAAGAAAAAGTGATGGAAATAAATCTATTTTTGTTTAGATGATGCTAAGTTAAAATTTTATAATTTAATTAAATATTAAAGTTGAGATATTTAAATAATCGATTTATACAAATAAGTTGGGCTGTAAATATTACAATTTTATTTCATAATAATTACAAAAAAATAAATAGTTTAACTTTGACAAGAGTGAAAAAAAGTATGATCCTTTAACGACGTGTTTCTAACAAAATGGTTATCTAGATAAACCATACATTGTGTGATATTAAATGTGATATATATTTCAGGTTGTACGCACTGTAACCATATGCGAGTTTTCTGTTGTATACAGTTTTGTGTGTGTTTTCGTTTTAATATTCTCCTGTCAGACTATTGTTCGTACTTGGTCACGTTATTTATCAATTGTAACTTATTTATTTTTATTTAACTGGTATTTATTCATTTTACAAGTAAACTAGTAATTATCCATTGCGGGTAGATTACTTTTAAAGCTTGTACACATTTTTATACGTCTCTCTAGTGTTCATTATTGATTTAATGCGTAGCTGGTAAGTTTTACAATATTAAAATATCGGCCAAAATTTATCAATATTTTTTCAAGGTCATGCGCAGTAGTTTTATACTTCTATGAAGCTTTTGTTTATTATTTATTTGTGAAGCTTTACTAGTTTGATCAATGATAATGTTAATGTTAATAAGCTATATTTTGATTGTTTTAGGCTAAATGAACCTCTCTAATTCTGATTTGAACGAATGCTTATATTTCATAAATTTTAATCAAGACAGCACGTGAGTACATTTTTTTTTCATGTTATAACAATATGTAGATACATTATTTTACGAGAATAACTTTCTTCTATTTGTTTTATACTTAATATACATGCTTCAGCTATTACTGTGTCAAAAATTTTACAATTTTACCAGTTCAAATTGTTCAGTTCTCATGTAAATTATTTAATTTTTGAGTTTTTTTTATTCGTATAAATGTGAATAATAATAATTCTGAACATAAAAAAATATATTAAAAACAACAGATTTCTGAAATTAATTTAACAAATATAAAACAACTACAAATAATGCTTATATTTTCTATTTAACATAGTTTTACAACTCCATGCTTAGTGTTAGAAAAAAGTATATTTCAATTGTAATTAAAAAAATAACATTATAATAAGAAAATATAAAAAAATTATTTGAATAATTTTTAATTTGAAAAACTTTTTATAATTCTGCTTTTTACAATTTATTTCCAATTAAATTAATTTATCAATTTCATAGTTTGTAAAATTATGTGACTTAATAACCATAAAAAGGTTAAGGAATAAGTTTTGAAAAAAGTTAATTCATTATAAAATTGGTTTTGTATTGTAAAATTATAATAAAAAAATTATTATTGAATATTTAGTTTTTTTAGCATTGGATAATGAAGAAAGCTAATCTTATCTAAAAATTTAAAATATTATTTTAAATTACTAAAAATGATTATCTATACTAGCATAAGTATTAATAACCAATAAGTTTTCATAAAAATAAAGCTAATGATAAACCTATAATTAGCTACGTAGCCATGGTAACAAATTGATATCAATACAAAAATTAATTTTTGATATGTTTTCAGTATAAAGTGTTCTATGGTTTTCAAATATGGATTAAAATTTGCATTTCATTATTTGTCAGTGAATATTTCAACTTATCAGTGCTTAAAAACATTTTTAGTAAACTTGGTGTATCATTAATTAAGTGCAGTTAACTGAAGTTTTTCACTTGAGTTTTAACCAGAAATTAATTAATATGAAAATTTAATTTAAATTTAAGGTTGTCCTTCTTTTGTACTGTTTTTATCAGTAGTTGATTACGTATATTAAATAATATATTTTTTAAAGTGCTTTTGGTTATCCAACATCAGTTAAATACATTTTTGTTCCTTCAACGTTCCTAAGAATATTGCAGGTAAACACAAGCATTTTTAATTATTATTTAGTATTTTTATTGTCAGTTCTATCATATTAAGTCAGTTATTTTATTTTGCTAAGTTTTAACTAAAATTTTTTCTATAATAGGCTAAGCTGATCAACAACTATAATATACAATCATATTTTTTCATAGGCTATTGATAAGCTAGATTGAAACTGAAGTGAAAAATTTTTAATGATATATATATTTTTAAATAAATTAGTTATGCATTAATATGAATTAATTACAAATAATTACAAAAATTATATTAAAGTAATTAATTATTGTGTTGTTACCATGGTGTAGTAGTTTGTTTATTTCAAAACTTCATTTAGACCTTATGTTACAATGTTATAAAAATGAATTGCTTACATTTGTTGTTACACATTTTGTTGATCAACTTTAAGCCTATTAACTTTATTTTTCATTTTTTAGTGTTACACATAAAATGTCTTTACAACTACAGTAAACCTTATGTTAAAAGTGTACTTAAATATTTCTTAAAAATAACTAAAGTTCAATCTACCCAAAATAAAAAATCCTCTTTCTTATTAAACGTGTTTATTTAAATACTTTTTTGTATTTTGATTTGCTAGTAATTTTATTATTAATAAATATAAATTAAATTTATTTCTCTATTGTCAAAATCTGTTGTTCAAATTAATATTTTTAATAATTATTATGTAGATTTGCTATATCCGTATTTTTTCCCTTGTAATAACTATTGAGTAAAATAATTTACTTAAATGTAAATTACTCAAATACTTTTAAAATTAATTTGCATATCTTATAACTATTAAAAAGTTGAAAGTTGTAAATTCTTGTATAATAATGATTTAATCAAAAGTTATGAGACAGATTTACTGTAGTTAAGTTGAATTAGTCAAAAATATTCATAATTCTATGCATTGTAGTAATGTATTAAGTTAAGAATTTTTTTTTTTCAGTTAATATGGAGGTTGAGATGGATACGTATTTATTAGCTTCTTCGTTAAGCTATCATGGTTCAAAACTACAAGAGATGATGGAAAATCATACTAATAGTGCAGATCTATTTACAGCACAAACTAATTTAAATTATTCAGCTTATTCCAATGGTCATAATTCTGCTAATGATCTAGAAGAAGAAAAACAGTTCAAACTTGGCAAGTTTGTTGCAAATCATTCAAAAGCTTTTTTTAGTGTTGATTTGTTTTCATCTAATAAACAAAAACATGAAATACTCGAAAAAGATTCTATTGTGCATATGCCACCATATGAAACATTTGGGCATATTAATAAAGAACTAAAATTAAAACATTTTCTGAATGAACTTTTAGAAGGTGATTTAGTTATAACATCAGTTGCATCTAAAACTACTTCTGGTCTGTTGCTAAAAATTTTGTGTACATACTCTGAACCTATTCGCATAGTGTCAGACATTAATGCTCGTGGGTTTTGTACATCATCAGTACAAAGTTTTAGTGTTGGGGACAATATTTGTTGTGAAGTATTAGAAGTTGTACCTGAAACATGTAAATTAATTTGTGGTACTAAAGGTATTAAATGTTCAAAAAAATATAAAAATATTCTTGGCTTATTTAATATGGAAAATTGTCCACAATCATTTAAATTGTTCCATGCTGGTAAAAATAATGAGTCATATGATTCCATGTTGAAGACTTCATTAGGATTTAAGAATCCTTCTAATATTGTTAATTTAGAACAAACCACTGGTTTAACTTGTGAGAGACATTCGATTATACCTGAGCTATGTGGAAGTTTTTCTGAAAAAGAAACTGCATTAGAATTAAGGAAAACACAATCTGCACAGTGGGCCATTCAAAGTGTTTCTGATGGCATAAAGTATTTTAAATCTGGACAACATTCTGAAGCTTTTCTTTGTTTAAATAAAGCATTATCAATTGATTCATTAAATGTTGAAGCTTATGTGGCTCGAGGTGCATTATATGCTAATGTTAGTCGTTTTCCTAAAGCAGTTGAAGATTTAAAATGTGCCATTAAACTAGACCCAAAACATGTTAATGGTCGCAAATATCTTAGTGAGACATTAATGGGATATGCTAGGACATTAGAATCCCAAAATAAGCTTGAAGAAGCATTACAGCTTTATGAAGAATGTTTACAAATGATGCCTGATCATGATGAAGCTAAGACTTCAATTGATTACTTAAAATCCATTTTAATGATTGGTGGTAAAACAGTATCATCAAATATGATTAATTCTTTGAAAAAGGTTGATTGTGGTGATTTCAGTAAGTCTGGAAGTAGTAGTAGCAGTTCTAATGAAAGTAGTAGTGGTTCAAGTGAGAGTTCAAGCTCTGAAAGTTCTTCAGAAGATGAAAGTAGCTCATCTGAAAGTGATTCAAATCATTCTTCTTCGTCTTCTAGCTCAAGTGGTGCTTCTTCAGGAAATGAATCTCCAAAAGTAGAAAAAGAGAGATCTTTATCACCTTTTAGTAAACGTTTGGCTATGGATAGTAGTAATACTAATGGTGGTGGATTACCTTGTAATCCTGCATTTATTTCACCAGAAATTTCTCAACAACCACCAGTATCAAAGGAAAAAGAGAATGACATTGAAGGTAGAATTCAGAAACTTTTACTTTTAAGTCAAGCTAACAAAAGTAAAAAAGGAAAAAAAATTGGATTAGATTTGAAAAAGTTATTGCAAGAAGCTTATGAAATTAAAAACGAAGAAAAAAAAAATGAAAAAATTAAGGTGAAAAAAATTAAAGATAAAAAAAAATCCCATAAACATAAGAAAAAAGATTCTAAAAGTAAACACAAAAATGATAAAGAAAAAGAACATAAGAAAAATAAGTCAAAAAAAAATAAATATGTTGATCCAGTATCTGAAAATGAACAGCATAATATAATTCAAAAATCTGACCTCCCTGATCCGGAAAGTGTTAAGTCTAATTTATCTAATATTAAAGAAAATATTTTTTTCAAAAAATATGTGAAACAAGACAAACCTGAAGAACTGCATGTACTCGATAAAAAAGATGAGCAACAATATGATATTTTTGAAGGCCAGAATAATGAAAACTTGCCTAGTAATTTAAAATATATTGAAGATCCTTCATTGATTCCTACACCTAAATTTTCAATGCAGCTCAGTAATACAACTACTAGTTTTACAAAACCAAAGAAAAAAGAAACAACTGATGATGCGCCACCATCTTATTTATGGGACAATAATCGATTTTCTAATACTAATGAGTCCACCAAGTCTCAGAATATTCCAGAACCTATAATTACAGAATTAAAGTATCCAACTAGTGTATATGATCCAAGTAAAGCATTATATTCTATACCTCAACCTATAATGCCTGATAGAGCTGTGGACTCAACAACAAAGTCATATATTAGTCCAAACAAAAGAGATAGATCTCGTAGTAGATCAGCAACCAAAAGACATCTGAGTAAATCAAGAAGTAGAAGTTCAGGAGCTCATTCAAATCAATCACCATTTAAAAAGAAACCTAGAGATGTATCAAGATCTAAGACCAGAAGTCGCTCAGGTTCATATCCACGTCATAGGCGTTATTCATCTTCTCGATCAAATCGAAGTCGTTCATCATCCAGATCATATTCACGTTCTCGATCACGTTCCCGATCCAACTATCATCGAAATCGTCAACCATATTATAATAATCGTAATAGAGGTACTTATTATAAACCGCGTTTTCAAAATCAAAATCATCATAATCGTGGTTTTCAACACCGTGGTTTTCAGCATAGAGGTGGTTATATGAATCGTCAAAATTATAATAATAATTACAATAACTGGAATAACAGAGGACAAAGAGGAGGTGGACGTCAAAGATTTTTCCACTACAAGCCTAGACAATATGACAGAAACAGGTACCACGAAAGACGTAGTTATTCCGGTTCTCCTATTCGGCGTAGCCGAAGCCGTAGTAAAAGTCGTAGTAAATCCAGAGCTTCATCTAAAGAATATAACCGAAAACGTTATTCTAATAGCGTTGAAGACTTAAACATAAGTAATAGTAAACCAAAAACTCCACCAGAACCAGACACAAGTAAATGGCAGAATGATAATTCTAATATTGATAATAATGGAAACTCTCATGATCATGAAGAAGGTTCTATTGAATAATAAAAATGTTTTTATATTTTGTTTGACACTTACGTATTTACACTTAGTTGTCCTAGTTTTTGATGAGTATTTTTTTGATTAAAATTGTTCAACTTTTGAAAAAATAATTCAGATTATAATCAATAATTAAATATTAAATATTCTGTAATTAAAATATGATTTTTAGTATAAAAAGTGTTAGTCATTCTGGATACTTGTAAACTTTATATAAAAATATATCCTTTTATATCAATTATCATATAATTTAAATACATATTTTGTTTGGTAAAATATGACAAAAATATAATACTTCATATAATATGGAATAATATAATTATTATCATAATTAAATAATTAACTTGTTAGTATCAATTAATTTGAGCACAAGCTTAAATGATCAGATATATATATTGAATCGACAACCTATCAATGTTGCTTTACTTAATTCATAGTAATTTTATAAGGTATTCAGTAAGTATAAGGAAACAGGTCAATTGTTACAATGAGAACAGTAGAAACTCGTTACCTTAATGAATATATATATTATAAATATATATATATAATACGTTCACATTTTAATAATTAGTTGAAAGATATGTATTTAAAAAATTATAATCGTACCTTATACATGGCAAGGATTAAGAAAATTTTTGGAAGGTTTCTTTTCATGAATTTGACCCTAATCTCTAAATTTGGAGAAAAAAAATACATGTAAATTTTAAATAAGTTTTATTATTCATAATGTAATTTACGTGAAAAATAGTATGGTTAATGATGAAACTAAATATTTTTTCGAAGTGAAGTAGTATTCAGATCATTTTGATAACTTTTTTTTTAAATTTCCCTCAAGAAAATGCAATTCAATCCATAAATTTTACAAAAAAAAAATTGTCAAATTTTATTTATTTTGACAAAACGTGCCAATTTAAAGCAATAATTGTAATAATAATAATAATAGATCAGTTCAAATTTAAATTTAGTGCGTTTACATTTATACCATAAGTATCTGATGTGGCTTTTATAGTTAATCGTACACTGGATGCTTATTATTTTATAACTCGGACCGTATAAATTTCATTTATTTTTTAATCCCTGCCCGACCCTGGCCAATAACATAAATTGTATACCCATTCAACTGTTTTTATTATAAACCCGACCCGTACCATGTAGAGCTCTGATATATACTTTTCATTGAAAAAGGTACATGATTAATCTTAAGTAAGTCAATCGGTAAAAATAAAAGTTGTCGTCAAAGAAATAATAAAACTTTGCATAATTTTCGTTAAATATCTTATGATTGAATGCTATTGAAATTGTTTTTTCTATTAAGCTGTATTTTGAAATAAACGGTTAATGCTTGTGCGCCTATTCGATTTTTTACCGTCAAGGCGGTCCAGTTTCGATACAATATTTATGAGTAATTAAATGTTTTCCATATATTGTACTTAAAACGTAAATAAATAAAAACTATGCGATGTTATATTATTATTTTTTTAACCAGGTCATAATCGAGGTCAAGTTTGGCCAATCCCATATGCACTTTACACAACACTTTGTATCGTTGTAGGCCACTACATTACTACAATACAAAACAACAACAACGTTACTAGCGAAAGTGAGATCTCCTATATTTTCTTCATCGTTTTGGCTTCATCGCCATACGCATCGTCGAGTGTCTATAGTCTTGAATCAATAGCTCCAAATTGTATTCATTCATAAATGTCGTATAAAATTTTTTAATGAAGTGTGTCATAAATTTTTCCGTTTTGTTTCTCTGTTTTTTGTTTTTATTACGATTTATTGCAAAATAATTTTTATTTTAATACGATAACATACAAGTGCGAATTAACTTATTATTGCTGTTTTCGGCGTAGGGCACGTGTTTTTGTTGTTTGTTAAGTGTGCTGTTCTTTATTATTATTGTTATCATAATTATTATTTTTTGTCAACTAAGTACTTTCCGTATTCGAAAAGTAATCCGATTTTTTACATGTGTAAGAACAGCCTACTAAGCGAATAATGACTGAAAAAATGCTGTTGCATTGCACGGCGGTGGTATACTCGGACGCGTATGCGCTTCTTTAAAGCGTCATAATATTGTTTAATACACTCGCATACATATATAGTGGTAATTATACGCGTACCAGTTGTGTGATAGTGTTGTTAACTATCGTCATAGTTGTTACGTTCTAAAATGGTGCTAAATTTGTGACGATTTTAACTACTTCCGATTTTGTTCTTATAAAAAACTGTGGAATACAAATTGTGAATATTTTTAAAAATTATTTATTTTTTTGTTTACTGTGATTCTCTAACGGCTCACGGGATTTGTTTTGTACAAGCTTTTAATGTCGGACGTTGACATACATCTCAAATACTTAAGTTTTGGTACGGCCGGTAAAAAAATATTAAGCAAGTACGCTGCAAATTTTGCTTTACAATTTTTGATAGCTTATGATTAATCCAATATTTTCCCGTCTAACAATGAACTGTATTATTTTTGCGTAGTATCTAAATTATATGAAATTAGTGATGATAATTAGTGGAGTGTTACCAGAAAACTACCAGTATAAAATATTAATTTAATAACTCATGGTCATTGTTAATTTAAAAAATCTCAGTAGTAACTCCAATAAACTTTTTGTTTTTGAGTATGTCGTCAACATATCTAATAGATATGTTGTTGTTTTTCATCAGCTGGACGTTTACAAATAAAAATAAATTCAGATGTTATTTTATTTCATTTTTTAACTCTTTTAGACTATATTTAACAATTTTTTAAACATTTGTATTGTTGAATATTAATTTAATGTGTCCAACATCAGGTTGACAAACAAAATTTATTGAAAAAATCATAATTTAGTAAATAGTTGTTCAAGGTTCTTTGTGTTCTGTTTCATATAAAATACGTCATCTCACTTTTCTCAAGTCAGATAATAATGTATCTATTATATTGAAATCTACTAAAATGTTATTTTTCGCTGACAAGTGCATAAGAGTTGTTCAACGTGCAAGCATTGTTGGCACTTTTTTAACTGCCATTTTATACTATCGTTGCCTTTATTATTATTCATTTCTGTTTCAAAGGAATTATTGTTAGCTTTTTTGTTTATTTTAGTCACTTCGACATATGCTTTAAAGTTAAAAGTACACAACACCACACATAATCAATACACTTTATATTCGCAAATTGTTCTATCAGTGGTTCTCAGATAACAATATTTTCCTGATGGAACTGTTGATTGTGTAATCGACTTGACGACCTTACTACTATCCTACACGTATATTAGCATCTTAGTATAAACTACTACTATCATATTTAGGTGGAATGAAATCTTAATAAAATTAATGTATAATATTTTGTTTTTAACTGGTTTTGTTTTAGTTATAGCTCTTATTATAGTCTTCCAGTTCTTTTTGTAAACTTTCTTGTTAAAGACTTAAAAATGTTTAAATGATAACGTTGTGAGTTTGTTAATGATATCTAAGCTGACAATTTTTAAGGTCAAATTCTTAATTATAACAATTTGAAGACTTAAAATAATGTTTACGTTTGTCCATTATTCAATTATACTCATTTATCGCGAAAGATAAATTCATCTATTTTAAACTTTAAACCATAACTTCATTGTTTTGGTGATATTATCAGAAGTTTTGAAAAATAGAAAATTGTAATTTAAACATATTTTCAAAAACGTCAATAAGTAACAATAAAAAGTCCTCATTAGAATTGTACATAATTAAAGTAAACATTTGTAGGTAATTATAATAACCTAATATAAGTCAATTTAAATTAACTAAAATTTGTTATGTTTTACAACGTATACCTTTAATTTTGCGTAATTAACTCCTTAAAGAGTTAAAAGTAAAGCATAAAAATTATGTATTTAGTAACGACAAAAATTTTATCAAATTTTTCAGTTGGTATGAATTTTATGTTTCATTATTGTTAATAATAAAAATGTACGTGGTGTATTACATTTTTTTAGTAGTTTTGTATTTTTCTATTATGTGTTTGATTTCTATTTCAAATAAGCGATAAGAATATAAAATCTATTGATTCTTACAACAGGAAGTAGTAATGGCTGATTTCTATGTTAAATAATTGGAACTTCCTATTTGATTAAATACTTTTTCTCAACCTTTATTATCTGTAACGCTAGAATTAAAATCTTACTTGTTTTTTTTCCCAAAAACTGTTCATTTTTTGTTTATTTTATTAGTTTTTGAAATGTATTACATGATTAATGAATCACGTAATAAAGTACGAGACATTTAGACATTTATTATGGTAATAATGTGTAATGAAAAATTTAATGTTGTTCAAAAAATTATTTTTAGGCATAAAATCATTAATACTAAGATACAATAATATATATTCATACTTACAATTGAATAAATGTAAACTATTATATCGTTACTTGTACTTTTTGATGCATTTTTAAATTTGATTTTTGTTGGTTTTAATTTTGGCGTTCAAATGACTTAAAGTGTGCAATTCCCAAAAGCAAAAAAATTAATTTAAAATTATTTAAAAAAAAAAGTTTTGTGCTAATATTTTGTATTTTTCATTTGTTAATTCTATCGTTTTATTATATTTAAATACAATGAATAATAGATAGCTTTGAAAAGAATAACGTTTTTATAATATTAATATTATACTATATGTTAAAATAACGTTAAAAAACCATTATTATAATGTTATTTTTCAAAAATTGCTAAGAAAATTTGTTAAAGAATGAGAATCTAACTATTTAATTACAAAATTAATCTATTAATGTTTATAAATTAGTACAATTAATAGATATCTTATTGAAAATTTAAAATACGTCATTTTAGCTTGCAAAACTCTCATGGATTAATACATTATACAAATGTATAATGTAATTTGTTATGATAAACTTATTGATAGTGCTGGCATAGAGGGTATGTGAGTTTAAATGAGACCGGCAAATAAAGTATTGATCTATAAATAATTAGTTGAGCCCCATCAGTGATTTTTGTATTAGTTCTTACGATTTCTAAAATCGATTCTACTTTAAATCATACGCAGTCCTATGGAATATTTGGAAATCTATAAAACATACCGAGCCGGCAATTATGTTACAAATTTTTAGAAGAAGCTGAAAATTACAATTTAAAATATATTATAATATATTTTGTATTATAATTAATTAGTAGATCATGAGTTTTTTGTATACTTCTTTCGTGATTACATAAAATTTACATATTATGTATGGTGTTTGATGAAAATAACTCTGATCAAAGGCCATACGTCTCGTAATAAAATTATTAACTACTTAAAATGATTTTAAGTGGTTAATATATTTTTTTATTGAGATTAAAACAAAATTTTTAAAACAGTAATTGTTCAAGGTTTGGTGGTATGAAGGATAAAAATCCTTGAAATGCAACTGACTGCAATAAATGCATAAATAATACATTTTTGTTGCACTATTGTGTACACCTTTTCGAGGTCACACGGTACATATTGTATAAGTTTTTTAACAAGGTTTTTTTTTTGTTTACTGTTCTTAAATACGTGTCATATTTATAATTTATCTACATATCTAACGTCCTCAATAATCAAAAACTAAAATAATTTTTTTTTCTCCTGTTTTAGGTCATTAGCTGTTGGTACCAAAACTGGATATCGATTATACTCTTTGTCTTCAGTTGATAACTTAGATCAAATTTATGAAAATGGTATTTATGGTGTTAAATAAATAAATAAATTATAATAGGTTAGCAAAAAATGTCCTTATCCTCGGATGTATTGATTTATTTGTATCAAAAGTGTTTAATGTAAACTTTTTCAGTCATTATAGAAAATGACAAAACAAAAAAAAAAAACATTTGGAATAAAATGTTATATCAGCTTGCTGGTGTAAAGGCGCAATATATAACATTGATACTATTGCTATAGCAGTAGTATGATATTTTCATGTGGGGAGACATTAATGTTTAGCGGTAATATGAAAAAAATCATGCTATGGCATTACAGCTATACAGCTACATTATTAGTATTTTCAATGTTACCAAAAGTAGAGGAATTTCAACTGTCATATTACATTGAAATGATTACTAAAATTATAAGAATATATTAAATTTTTTCCCAATGTAATTTCTGAAAGCTATGAAACTGTTTATAATGATAAAATTCATTTAGCTAAAGAATAATTTTCATATTTTTATACAGAGTCGGAAGACATTTGCATTGTGGAAAGGCTATTTAGCAGTAGTTTGGTTGCAGTGGTCAGCTTGTCGTCGCCACGTAAGTTAAGAGTATGTCATTTCAAAAAAGGCAATGAAATATGTAATTACAGCTATTCAAACACAATTCTAGGTGTCAAATTAAACAGAGCAGTAAGTATTATTTTATATTTTTGTGATAAAATATCATAATTTGACCAATCATTTTTAGCGACTTGTTGTTTGTTTGGAAGAATCCTTGTATATACATAATATTCATGATATGAAAGTGTTACATACAATTAGAGATACTCCTCCAAACCCTGCTGGTTTGTGCTGTCTGTCTACAAATAGTGATATGTGTTATCTAGCTTATCCTGGTTCTAGTACTACTGGTGAGGTTCAGATATTTGATGCCATTAATTTGGTAAGTATTATTTATAAAAATTTGTAAATTTTATTAATTTCTATATATATTTTAGCAATCTGTCTCAATGATCTCAGCTCATGACAGTCCTTTAGCTGCTATGGCTATTAGTCATCAAGGCAACAGAATAGCAACAGCAAGTGAAAGAGGTACTGTTATAAGAGTCTTTAACATAGCTGATGGTGCAAAATTATTCGAATTTCGTCGTGGTGTAAAACGATGTGTCAATATTTGTAGTCTAGCATTTAGTATTGATGGACTATATTTGTGTTCTTCCAGTAATACCGAAACGGTACATGTGTTCAAATTAGATGAATCAAAAGAAATGTTTGTTTTTTTTTACTAAAATATTGTAATTATAGTAGTTTAATAATTTTATAATTTCTTAGTCCACCAATGCCAGAAGAACAACAAAGTTGGATGTCATTTTTTTCTAAAGCTGTAACAGCATCTGCTAATTATTTACCTACTCAAGTAACTGATGTGTTCACCCAAGGAAGAGCAGTAGCTTCAATTCATTTGCCTTTCCAAGGACTAAAAAATATTTGTACCATTGTAATGTAAGAAGTCATTTTAAAATTTATTTGAACATTTTTAATTAAGTTAAATTGTAATGTGGTAATTATAATTCCAGGGTTGACAAAGTTTTAAGATTGTTAGTTGCATCATCCCATGGATATCTTTATGTTTATAATTTAGACATGGAAGAAGGTGGTGATTGTATCCTTTGGCGTACTCATAGGTTAGTTTTGTTAATTTAATTGTCATTACAATTTAAAATTAAAAAATAAATAAACATTTATTTTGTTTCTGTACAATAGGCTGGATGGCCAAACAGATGTGGTTGATAGTTCTAAAATAATCAAGCCAAAAGAAATAAATAATAAGTTTGATAAAAACTTAAAAGTTGAAACACCTAGCAGCAAAAATACAGGTAATTTATTGAATTATGAAAAATAACATTTGATGTATAGTATTTAATGTTTTTTCATCCACTCACAACCCTATGATAATAATCATATGGTTTATTAAAAATGAATATTAGGAATTATCACTACATTTTTTTATTTTCATACACTAATTTGCATAGGCGAAACTAGGACCAAAATTTGAGAAGAAATTGGGGATTAATATATAAATCTATTCTTTTTTTTCCTCGCCTTAATTCCAACTACTTAGAGTCAGCCACCCTAATTCTAAACTTCCACTTGACACAATCTCCCATATCATCTACGCTCACATCAGCCATCCTCATATCACTTCAATAACATCCCTCCATAACCTACAATATTCATTTAATTTCATTTTTGCGTGTTTTATAACACATAATTTAAAAAGAAATGTGTGTAGTCATTTCACACTTAAAAATTTCTTAGGGTTAATGTTTACAGACTTCACAAAAAATGTGTATTGCGAAAAAATTTAGACAGAAACAGGCTTTGGATGAAGCTCTGTAGACGTATTTCTAGTTTCGCTTATGTTTGTTTATTAACATTAATATAATCTAACACGGCTTACTATCATAATTAATCATACTTTATATTATTTAAAATTTCATTTTATTTATACATTATCATGATAACTTTAATAAAGAAATATTTTACAAACCCAGATATAAGGTTTACATATCAGAAAACTGGCAGTTTTATATGAATAGTGTAAACCATAATTTTCTTTTCCTCTTTTACTGACTTTTAAAATATAATTTATTAAAAAAAAATTTTTTTATTTAATTGTAAATGTTATAAATATAGATTTAAAATTTAACTCATTGTTTATAGTAAAAAAAATATATACATATAGTATTTTTAATTTAAGTAAATTATGGTTATTGCTGTTGGTGTAGTGAGAAATTTAACTATTATATTCATAACAGTACCTAATATTTTTAAAACAGATAATGATAGTGGAGTTTTTAATACTAATCATACAGTTGAGGATTGCATGGATGGCACAGTTTCTGTAGTTAGTGAGTATGCTTTTCACATTTAACTTTAATTTGGTTTGACTTACGCTGTTATTGGTTTTGTTTTGGCCAACCGTTTTCTTCCTTCTAATTGCTGTTCTCAAATTGTACTTGGTGTCCCTGCGTATATGTGTGTACGAATTAACAGATACAACTGGAAGTTATGCTGGTGTTCTCAGAGGAGATCACTCACCTAGTCAGTCAGGTTTGTGAATAGCAATGGTGGATTTTTTTAAACATATAAATCATAATTGATCTTAACTTTTTTTTATTGGGTTATTTACTTTTAATAATCAACTTTTTCTAGAATTATTGTTAAATTTTTCTAGTTATAATTTCTATGTAACTTTCAGGTATGGAAAATAAACAAATTGATAGCTTAACAGAAGCAACAGATGAAGATCGTTTCAAATTAAATGACGATTCAGAGTTTCCACCAGTTTGAGTTTTATACTTTTAATTCTCTTTTAATAATTAATATTCTTTCTGATTTACTTTATTTTCGATTATTGTGACATATTTAATGTAATGTAAAAATTATTATAGTTATAAAAAAAAATTACATTTAAGTAATATCTAATCTAATTTTAAACATTTTGTAAGTGTATATTTATAGTTATGTAAAATACAATGTTATTACTTATTTCTTTGAATTTATCAAGAAAGTACTTTTGTTTTATTTGTTTAAAAACACAATTTAGATTGAAATATTAGTATTCTGTTATACAGTTTTTTTTATATTATTATAAATTTCCTAATACTTAATATCATCTGTGCAACCAAGGAAATTTAGAGGTTAGAACCCCCGAAATTATTAACAATGTTTGAACATTTTAGATGTAAAATGAAAATGGTATTAACCCCTCAATATTATTTTCTAGTTGTGCTGTGCTATTGCTTGAAATGAAATAGTAATATCCTAAAGAGAACTATTTAAAGTATTAGTAAAATATAATATATATATTTCATTGGTTATATTTATAAAAAAAACTTAAGTTTTGCTTAAGAAAAACATATAATTCCATTTGGTTTCTTAAAATTAACTCTCTTAAACTTCCTGATAGTTTTAAAGAATACTAATTTAACATAATTAAATGTATTAAGTCATGAAAATAAACTTTTAATAAAAAAGTTTAATTGAATATATTTTTAAGAAAAAGTCTTGTAACTGAAATTATAATTATATTATATAATTAATTATAATTATACATGTAGAATCTTTTTAGCTTCGATGCGAAGCTGAGAAGGTATTAATTTTACTATGATG